AAAAACTGGGACCAATCTTAAAATTCATGTTAATTAAGACTACCAAATACATCGATACATCTGAACGGCTACCGCTATTTATGCTCACTCAAATGGCCGGGCTGAAATTTTCAGTAATGCCCATTTTTTACGTGAAATTTCGGGTCAATGAGAGGAATTGAAATCATACAATAATAATTTTCTCTCGTCTTTCAAAGGACTAGAGCTTTGGGAGGATGCAAGAATTATTAAAATACCTTAGGAGACTGTATAACTATGTTCGGCAGCTGGTTTTCCTTATCAGCGGTTAAATCGCCTGTACAAATTGAAACAAAACTTTTACCTTCTATTTTTCACTCCAAGAAAAGGTATACATGGGTTTGGTACTTCACTTTCTCGTAACTGTTATATATGTCGGTTGTTTTGGTTGCTTCTGTGTTACTTAGTTACGTATTTATTATTTTTCAATTAGATTGTCATTAGAGATTCTGCTCTGTTCGAAATAAATAAATTGAATCAATTTATGTACAATTGAGGTACCACGAACCCAAAACATACAATACAAAGATTAACAGTAACATAGCGAAATTGTAAAATGGGATGAGGTATAAATTGGATCTATTTAATATCAATTTTTAGTCAATATATTCCCATATTCACAATAGATTTGTGTGTAACTTTGCAAGTAAGGAAATTCTCAGAAAAAGGTCGATTTTGAAGTCGGTTTCCAGAAAATAAAGAGAGTGCAATTTATCAGTTGGTACGACACTGTCAAATTTATGTTTCAAAGCTAGCCGGGAATCAATTATTTATTTAATTAGAAACAAACTCGCTGCTTAGATTAATACAATTCTAGTTCAAACGTACTTTTACCACCGAAAAGGTACACGCGGGGGGCTAAAGTGGAGATATTCGTCGAGACTTCAGTAACTTTTTACACGTTTATCGAAAATGCGTGTTCTTTGAAATTCTCGTTCAAATCAAGAGAATTTGAAGAAAAACGAATAACAAATTTCCAATACTTTCAATATGCAAATAATGATGCTAAATTCTTGTTTTTGTAAAATTGAAAAATAGAATTTAGCCCACTTAATTAAAATCGGCGAAAAGGAAACCTGTTAAAGTTTTACGAATGCCATTTTTAACATTATTACCTATAGCGACTCATAATTATTGGACGCGTACAGCAAGTTAAATGAGAAATTTGACCTCGGGGTTATCTTTACACTACAATATACTATTCCAAAATCAGTCGTTACGCGAGTGTAGGTGTGTGAGTGTCTTCCGATGTACTTCTAAGAGATTTTAAAAACAAAATCATCTCATTCAGGTACCTAATATATCTTCATACTCTGTATATGCTTTTTAATCATGCTCAAAACTTACAGGATGAGTTTTCCATAAAAAACCTTTTTTTATGAAAAATCGCCTTTTTTCAACAATTCCACTACGTGTCTGAATAGCATTTTTTAAATTTCGGTTAAAAACATCAATTAATTGGAATGGAATCTCTAGATGGATGTGTTTCAAATTTTAGACCAATTTATATAATTATGTCGTAGTCTTTTAGTGAAAGAAAGAAGGGGAAGGGAAACTACCCCACACGTAAAATTGTGAGCGTTTCACTAAATGACTAGGCTTTTCGTGAAATGACGGATTTCACTAAAAGACTACACAAGAACTTAATCGTCAAAACTTTTTTACAGCTGAAATTCGAATTTTCCTTCATTTTGCTATATGCAAAATGGACCCTTATTCGAGAGGTGCTACGAATTGAGAACTAATACGTACCTACCCCATGAGTTTTTTAAGCACTTTTTCTGTTGAAATTTCATTTGTTATGTAAATTGCGATTTGCAGGCTTTATTCGGGGGTAACATTTTGACGTTTCCTAATTAATCGTTAAAATATGGACAGTAACCATAGCAATTTTAATACTTTTACTGCATGGAGGAAATAATCAAATAAAAAACAATTCCAACCTCCCCAAAACGCGAAAAACAGGTATTATAACTGAAGAACAAATTTGTCCCACAAGCGTTTGCTCATTCCATTTTTTAAGTGAATCGCTTTTTGTTTGGCCAGGTGTCTAAAACGTCATCTTCAGACTTTCCATTAATACCCCATTTACCACTTCTTTTAAGGGTGTTCAAATTTGAATTTTTAAGTAAATTGCAACATGTCATTTTAGGATTATCTACTGAGCCATTGGAAATTTTCAAAAGCTTTTGAAACTTCTTGATTCTTGAAGGCTTAATCCATAAAGATTCTTAAATACTAAACGCCCAGTAAAAATTTTAAAACGGTTACAAGGCTCTGAAGGCTTCCAAAGACTGTTTTGAACTGCATGCGAATTTCTAGAGTTCTGAATAACTTTTGAACGCTCTTAGATACCCTTAAGGCCCCTTAATGGTCTATTAAAGGGTCTAAAAACCCTAAAAGCTTTTTTGAAGGCTCCCTAAAAGTTCATTTAGGACTCTTGACAATCTTTAAGATACTGTTTAAGACTCTTAAAAGCTCAAAGCTTTGCCTCTAAGAGAAGGAACGGTTTCCACGGTTTACGACTATTAAAGACCTTCAAAGATCCATAAAAGCGCATACACGGATTTTTTTGTAAACATTCAATAGGGGCATCCCGCTTTCATTTTTCATTTCTGATCTACAAAGTGCATTAAAAATAAAAAGACCGTGTATACTCAATTTTTATTTACGAGTAAAATAAACCCAAAATGAATTATTGAAAAGCTGTGTTTTCAGTCTAAATACGTCACAAACCTACAACCAATCACGTAAAGATGAGCCGCAAACCTTGTGCGAAGCCCAAAACACCCACGCAAAAGTAAATAATAAGTGCCTGCGACACTCTCCTCCAATATTGGTAAGTCGTGATGTCATCTGAATGGTTCTAGCAGCTGATTGGTCGGGCTTATTTCGGCACAGAACCCGCCACAATCATCTCGTTTTGAATAAACCCCTGCTGCAGCACATGTTCATTATTTTTTTTCTAACAGTCACTATTTTTAAATAAACCTGGCTGAGGTAAGAATTTTCCATCTTTGGCAAAGATGGGGAATTTCCTTAGATCAGTTTCGAGCATTCTGCCGGCTACTCCGAATTAGGTTTTCCTGCAGTGTTCCTAATTCGTTAGATAAATACTGGAGTAGTATAGAGCAACTTAAGACCTTTTGCAGGGGCACTCTAAAAAGAATTATTAAATAAATAAATGTGATCATAAACTACCGGTGCGGCGTTTAAATAAACACAGAATTGTGGGAAAAGTGCGTAAGTTTTTGGAATTTGTTGAACGTTCTTAGAGTCAGCTGCGTATTTCAAACATAAGATGCTTTTACAGCAAGCCACAGATTTCTAAAAATTAAGTCATAAAACTATAATGCTTTCGTTACATAATTACTGAGAAATCCAAAAAGCTTTTCCAGGAAAGTTTCTTAAATACTCTCAAATTGTATTAGGGATTGTTAGTGGCTCTTAAGGACTTTCAAAGATTCTTAAAGATTCTATATAAATGGTCAATTGAAGGTTCTCACAATCTTTAGATAACCTTGTTTCTTGAAAACCCTTTTGGAGATTCATAGATCCTTAATTACTCTTAAAAATCTTTATAGACGTCACAAAATAACTGTGGATAATATTGAAGGCTTATCAAAAGAAATCATTTGGTTCTTAAATACCACTGAACACCAATAGAACATTTTTAAATGCTCTTATAACTATTAAGATAACTAAGTGTTTTATATGTACTTTAAAGGACGATGCTCATTTTAAATCCGAGCGACCGAAGGGAGCGGGGTTATAATAGGCAGAGTGTAGTTAAAGTAGGCTCTGTCAGAGTCCTTTAAACTATAAAACGCCGTGTTATCTTCAAGATTTGTTTATAACACTGTAGCATCTTTTATCCAACTTCGTCTTTTTTTAATATTTTATCATGAGAGAATAATGTTTTTGTTATACGTACGTCAAATGTGAAATTTCGCTGATTATATTCAAACAGCGAAGTATCGTTTCGTTGCTGAGGGCAGAGAAGCGGAAAACAGGCAGAGAAATTTTACTTCTCTGCCTCTTTTGATTTCTATACCTGTTTTGACTAGCCGTTTATATACAAGAACTTGCAGCATACTAATAAAGAAATTTAATGTTTACCACGGATGAGTGAGATCCGCAACGAAAACTCACTTCTCGTCCTTGGTAAACAATATACTATTCTCAAGGCTGGCGTTGGTAGTAACCATAGTAATAGAATCAACAAAATTAGCTACGAAAAATTAAGCAACGTACTTTAAGTTGTATATAAAGGACGTTATCATTGACGACCTACTTTATAAGAAATAATGAATATTGCTGACTTAGAAAACGAGTTTAAATGAATTTTAGAAACTATTTAAATTTATTAATATTAAGGTAAAGTAAGATTTTTCGCGCACGTCATCAATTTCTTTTTGGGAAATATTGTAATGCCAACTTATTACCAAAATAAAAAAAAACATTTTAAACTACAAACAAACGTCGGAATTACGTGTTTATGTTAAACTGATCAATGTATTTCATAAAATACAGGCAGAGGCAGAGTACGTTATTTAAGAAATAAAACCAAAAACCTTTAGTGAAAAGGTTTTTGTTTTGTTTTCAAATTACCTGTCAATCGAAATTGTGGTAATTTACGTTTACATAGCGGCTTGTCAAATTTGACAACTGTTTGTTACGGTTTTTTTTATTATTTTATCGCATTTGGCTACATTAGCCGATAAAAAATCCGTTCGTTTCAAAACGTACAATTATAGAAACATAACTTATGTAAGTCCCACCGCGATATTCTGTGCCAAAAGTTGTATAACCCAAAAATACCATCGGGTTTATCAAGAAAAAGTAAGCAACTTATCTTATTCTTTACTTTGAACCAGAAAGAAATAATGATGGTCCACTTTTACCAGTCGCAGCAGTAAGAGAGGTGAGTGGTTACTTTAGTAATATAAGAATTCGTATACGTAACACGTTTCATTTCACAGACAGTTGCGGAGGCATTATTAGTATGCGAACATCGAATTATTTCACAAATTTAAAATCGGGCAAACTTCTAGAAAGTCCCGAAAAACAAAGGCAATGTAAGAAACCCGTTAGCAATGTTGATGGTTTCATACAAGCAGCGATTCGGTAAGTTAAAACACACTTTGGATGGTTGAATGTAGATAAGCGTTTATGTCAAATATGCGTAGATTATAATATTACGAGTATATTAAATTAATATTTGTGTAGATATTATAAGCAGTTTACGTTTGTATGTTCTAAAAGAGACATACGTATTTCATGGGTCCAAAGTTGTCCCTACCAAAAGATAATGCCAGAAAAAGGTTAATGGAGTTAATTTTTTAGATGCGTATGTAGAAAATACCCAATCGGAGACTGGACGTCAATGTGTCGTTTTGGATAAACTGAACAATGGGTATTTGAAAATGGAACAATACGTAAGTCATGGCAAGACGAATTAAACCCGAGGGACGCAGGTAACATACTGGTAAAAATGAGAACAATATCATCTTATAACTATTTAATATAAATGTAGTTTTACGTACCGAAACATGGATGGTTTTATTACTGGAGCATTTTTATTTTTTGCTTCAAAAACGAATGATCAAGATTACCACGGGGAAATGAACGAGAGCTTTTTTTAGTGTTTCGAACGCCATTTGCTACCAAATTTAGAAGAACCATCCCTAATTATTATGGGTAATGCTAGTTATTACAGTAGCTTACTGGAAAACTTGTCAAATCCTTCTTAGACTAAAGCGTAGCCACAGCACAAAAATGTTGAGTTTCCAATTGATGCATTAAAAGTGTAATAATTTTAGTTTCGTGATTAAAATTTGTTTTTTCAGAAAGAAACCTCTAAAACGATATGCTTCTGATGAGATGGCGTTAGAAAATGAGGAATTCAAACAAACCATTGATGCAGTTACACCTTATATGTGGAAACGCACTGGATAGCATACTCGTACCAACAAAATTATTTCAGATTGCTGACGCAGAGAAGTGAAGCTTGAGCGAGAAGATGTAGCCCCACTAATAATCAACATGGAAGATTTTTGTAGTGATTATTCAGATTTATGTTTTCCCGTTTAATCTCAAGACTTGAAGTCAACAAAATGGATTTTAAACGGCGCCTACGGTGTTTTAAAATTCATGGAGAGATCCAAAAGGAACGCGTCTACGGTAAAAAAGGCTGTGGTTCGCTGTTTACCAGAATGAAAGCAAGAAGCTCGGCGAACAACTCAGGTGAAGTTTGTGTAGATTTTCTTTTGCTTTGGTTGTCCTTGTTAATTTAGTTCGTGTGGGATATGCCAGGGTTTTTGTCCCGAATAAGGTTTCCCTGACATCACCTAGTTGTGTGCGTAATATATTTTCTTGCGCACAAAAGTTTTATTCAATTTCCTTTCCCATTTGCGTATAAAAGAACCGCCAGTTTAACACAGACTCCTACCCAGATTCGAAACTGCCGCGAAACTCCGTCGTTTTAACGGTGGCTCTGCTCTTGAATCAAGATTGCTGTCGCTTCTCGACTTCTACTGCTAAGTACTTGCACTTGCAGACACAAAGAACGACAAATTGTAACTAACACCTCCGAAAACCGGCTGCTCATGTTAATATATCTTCTTCTGAACAAACGGGTTACTTGAAATTTTCAAAATTGCTCAAACGACAATTAAAAAAACCATTACGCGCACCCCGCTGGTAACGCAGGGTGAAAATTACTTATGGGCTAATGAAATGCTCTCAAAGAAGTCTCTTGAGGTTTGTTGAAGGGTTTGAGTCTTTAAAATCTCTACCTGTTTTGAAAGATGTTCTAAAATGCATTTGAAAATAAAGTACAGTCTTTTCTGATGGTGTTGAGCCATAACTCGTTGTCTTCTGAATGTAAAATCTTAAATTTTAATCATAGGCGCTCCTCTTTAATGCCTAGTACCACAGACAACTAGTATCTGTGCTAGTACCTAAGATTTTCATTATTCATATGCCGTATTATAATCGATTAAAGCTTCTAAACCTTCTTGCCAAAGCTCTACAAGAAGATCATAGTGAAAATTGTGGTAAGAATTGCTTTCGTCGAACGCTAACTGATTGAGCTTCATTTCTAACTTCGAAGACAAACGCCTTTATAAGCATGTATACGATAAGCAGTTTAGGTTTCTATTGATGGAAGACTAAAGGAACTCGCCAAAGTAACTTCCTGCCGTTTAAATTGGGATACATCAGAAACATTTCAGAGGCTTTAGTGTGTGTTTGTAGTTTGTGAAAACTTGTATTAGCAGTACATTGTTGCGGTATTAACACTAGGGTTGCGTAATACCCTTCGCACCGATTTTCTTTTTCTCCATAGTATCGTTAATGCCCCCGTGACGACCATCAACGTTAGATCGTTTCATGTTCTCCGTGCTCGACGTTGAGCCCGAACGCGATTCAAAAACTAAATAATTCGTTTCCCTCTTCCACCTTTACATTATAAAGGGGAAACCTACAAAAGAATGGTAGACGGCGGCGTGAACATGGGGGAGTCTCATTTTTACGCTACACGCTCTGCTTAGCGCCGTACGTCCTTAGAAAAAATGATTTTGTGTTTTTTTAATAAGCCATTTCGCGCGTATATAGAATTTTTCCTATTATACAACGATCGGATCGATTATTTCTAGTGAAACGCGATGGATGTAACACACAAACAAAACTATTACGCGTGAAATGGGTGGCTTAAAATATGGTGTCATCAATCAACAGGACTGTGATAAATGGACAGAATTCCGCTAATTGTGAATATAATCACGCATTACAAAAACACGATAATTTTAACGTTTTCCTACCGATTACATGGCCGAATGTATATATTTTGGCAGAGGAAAAAGTACGTTATGAATTACCGGCATTTTGGCATTAAGTACATGGCCATTTTCTTGTGTCCACATGAAAAAAGATGCGTTCTGATTTAATTAATATTTCGTCCAATGTTTATAATACTTAATAAATGTATACCATTCAAAAGCACCGTGATTTATATTGCTTTTGTACCTCAATTTCAATGTGTCATTTTCTGGCACTTACACAAATTACTATTTACGAGCCGTTCCGAATAATATAAAATGTCAGTGCAAATGGGCTAGTCAACAACTGAAACTGTTAATAATAAACGATAACTTTAAATGTAATTACTGACAAGACTCATAATATTTTATATGCTATGAAGATTAGCAATAAAACATTTAATTTAAATATATTCCTGCTCTATCTTCAGTACAGACAGCACGAACGATTTTTTTATACCCCTAATCCTTATGCTGACGGCACGGATCAACTGAACTGAATCCGGACCTTTACCCAACACAAGACTGAATAGTATGGTCTTTCCCATTTCTCTGTCATTGTAGAGGCTAGTATTTTTCAACGTACATGGCCCTTCAAATAAGAGGAGTGAATAAGGCTCTGATATCCTCCAACCAACTTGATAGATCTAATTGCTCCTTCCCATATCGGACAGCTGTGGCATCTCTAAATTCATTAGGGGATAAATCATCTCCGCTTTTGATAGCCTCCATCAGAATCAAAGACAATTCTCTGTATATGATAGAATTATCAGATGCCAACCTCCTAGTTGTATAGGCAAAGTAAAAGTTCATGTTCTATTTCGGAAACTTCTCGTCCAATTATAATTGGGACAAAGTATGTCGAGTTAAAGGCAGATACTCTTCTTCGCATCCATAAAAGTGACTGTCTGTAGATCTGTAGCCCAATCGTTCTGGAGGGATTTCACAAAAGCAATATATGAAGCTTGTGGGCAATTCTTAGCTAATTTTCTCACACATTCAATTTATTTTTCTACTTTATTCCTCACATATTCTTTCTTATTTTCTTCATTTTCAATCTCAGTTCTCCAATTTCAATTGGAAGTATTCCCGGGCATACCCCGACGTGCAAAAATAGCCCTTATATTATCCCATTCCATAATCTCATTAGCTAAACGACCGACGGGTTAGAGAAGCGTCGACCAGTGGTAATCAACATCAATTAAAATATGTAAATTTCTCTCCCACCATCTGGGTCTGCAATAACTTGACTCGGGTGTTTGTCTTCAAGACGTTATGGACAGTATTAAATTGAACAATAAATCAATCTGGTAGGCCATGTAATTGTTTTGTCATATTGTTATGGTAACATTGTTTCAGAGCTTGGCAGTATTCGATTTTGTAAATACTTTTTAATATTCAAATCCTTTAAAGTATTCAAATACTTCTTAATTAAATACTTTTATGGAAGCAGTATTGTATTTGTAACTCAAATACTTTCACAAATATTTAGTATTTGAATACTTCGCAAGGTATTTGAATACTTTGAGAAGTATTCGAATACTTCGCATAGTATTTGAATACTTAACCTTCCTTTTTTACAAAAAATTGACTACTCCAAAATTTCTCGGGAAAACAATTTTTCTTATTAATTTTGGTGCGTATAATCCAAAACGATTCCAAAACAATTCGTACTTTTTCGATTAGACTTCTCAATCAAAGTTATGGACTAGAAACCAATTTCGAAAGAAAATTCAAAGGGCTGTAACTTTTGAACTAGTAGCCCAATCTTGGAACTGTTTGAAATTATGGAGTCTACAGGCCCCGTTCTATAAGAAAATTTTTTTTCTGGGTCGATCAGGGATAATTTTTTTTCGGGCCTCAAAAAAAAGCAGTGTGTAACCTTCCTTTTTTACCAAAAATCGACTGCCTCAAAATTTCTCGGGAAAACACTGTTTCTTATTAATTTTGGTGCGTAGAATCCAAAACAATTGGTACTTTTTCGATCAGACTTCTCAATCAAAAGTTATAGACTAGAAACCAATTTCGAAAGAAAATTCAAAGGGCTGTAACTTTTGAACTAGTAGCCCCAATCTTGGAACTGTTTGAAATTATGGATTCTACAGGCCACATTCTATAAGAAAATGTTTTTTCCCGGTCGATCTGAGACAATTTTTTCTTCGGGCCTCAAAAAAAGGTAGTGTGTAACCTTCCTTTTTTAAATTGAAAATTGAACTATGTCAATCGAGTCTCGGGACACCCTGTATAACGATAACTTTTAATTGGGCCTACATGTTACTTTTACTTTATTATACACAGGATGTTCATACTTCCCACCATTCGTTTTCGAGAAAATTAGAAACATCTTTCCACTCTTTCGGCTAGTGTGTAAACCAGTTTGGAAGTAAAATCTGAATCAATAAATTAATTTTCACTATCCCAAGATTGTCACAAAGGTAGCTGACCGCAAATTAAATGGTTTCTTTCCCATAGCAAGAAATAAGTGATATTTTTGTTTGTTTTTGTTTTCCATCTTATTAAATAAGGATTTTTCTAATTTTCTCGAAAACGAATCGACCGATTGTAAAATATCAAACGTCCAAATAAAGGACTACGAAAAACCTTTCAAACGAGCTATTACTCGATCCCACTTGTCATTTAAAATTTTTAAAGGGGGTGTAGTAGTTTTTGGTTAAAAAGTTGTCTCTCTTGACATATCTTTTCACGAGCCTCGGCGTTTTTTCCTTTAATTAGTGGTTTTCGATAAATCCGTTGTGTGAACACCTTGTATATCAATCGTATCTACCTAATTTCCCCAGGTCTTCGATTTCCCTATTTTCCTTTTTAAACCATGTCGTTTTTGCCTAGCCCGTTTCTTTCCTTAGTCCAGTGTTGAGTTTTCTGTACAATCGTTTTCCTTCGCCCGTCCTTAAATGTTTATCTTTCCTCCATTTTATTTATCATTTTTGTTGTTATCCAAGGTTTGTTTATTCTTGGCCTCTTGTTGAAACCAATGTTTATTACACCTTCCTTTATCTTCTCCCAATGTTTCTTTACACTCTCTTTCGTCCTTGGCCTTCCGTCCCACGCTTTTATTTCTCTACTATCAGCGGTTTTTCTCACTCTTTTCGGTCTTATCTTTAAATCTGCAGCTAAGAG